CGTTGCTCTCCTTCACACTGGACTCCGGAGCGACGCAGTGGTTCTTCCGCGACAGCACGACTCTTACTCCACTCTCGGCGCCGGTTTCTGTAGCACTGGCCGATCCCTCTTCGGGACCGGTCATTGCGACTCACGCCACTACCCTCCCGTGCCCAGCTGCCCCTTCCGGTTCTCTGACCGGCCTCCACGTTCCTACTTTCTCTAGGAACCTGGTTGGTGTGGCTCCTCTGGCGAGACAGCACGTCGGGGTCTGGTTTGAGCCTTCGGGTGACACTGCAGTCTGTGTGGACGGTGACACGTACGCCCCTCTGGCCACTTTTCGTCAGGAGCCGGGCTCTGGTCTGTACACCCTCCACACCGACACCCATCCGGTTCCCCCGTCCCACCAGGTAGCCAGGTCCACTCAGGTAGCTGTGCCAGGTCTAGTGGCTACGTCGTGCTCGTGTCGGTCGCTGTCCCACCCTGCCCTCCTCTGGCACCACCGCCTTGGTCACCCGTCCCTCTCTCGTCTCCGCGCTATGTCCAGTCAGCGTCTTGTCTTAGGCCTCCCCCGCGACCTCCCGCCGCTCCCGCCGTCCCCCGCTCCTCCGTGCGGTCCTTGTGTCCAGGGACGGCTGCGCGCCACTCCTCACTCCTCCTCCCTTCGTCCAGCCTCCGAGCCCTTTGAGACACTCCACTTAGACGTCTGGGGCCCCGCTCCACGGCTTGGACCTGAGCAAGAGAGCTTCTTCCTAGTGGTCGTTGACGACTACTCTCGGTACACCACCGTGTTCCCTTTGGCGAAGAAGTCCGACGTGACTTCTACGCTGATCCGGTGGCTGCTCGCCACCGAGAGTACTCGTCGTCGTCGTGTCAGTTGTCTCCACTCCGACCGTGGGGGTGAGTTTCGCTCCGGCATTCTCGCCAGATTCTGTGCTGAGCAGGGCATCACCCAGTCCTGGACTCTTCCAGACTCTCCACAGCAGAATGGGGTTGCTGAGCGCCGGCTAGGCCTGGTCATGGAGATTGCCCGCACCTCCATGATCCATGCCCGCGCGCCCCATTTTCTGTGGCCCTACGCGGCTCGGTACGCCGCTCACCAGCTGAACCTCTGGCCTCGCGTCTCTCGGCCAGGGGCTTCACCGACCAGTCTTTGGACAGGGTCCCCTGGTGTTGCGTCGAGGTTTAGTGTCTGGGGCTGCTTGGCACTTGTCCGCGACACCTCTGCGGACAAGCTCTCACCTCGCGGCGTCCCCATCTGTCTTCCTTGGTTTCCCTGAGGCCTCCTCTGACTTCACCTTTTACCACCCTCCCTCCCACCGGTTCTTTGACTCTCGTGACGTCAGTTTCGACGAGTCCGTCCCCTACTTCGTCCGGTACCCCTGTCGAGGTCTCCCGGTTCCCCCCCCTCCCCTCTTCCTCGCCCCAGCTCCTCCTCCTCCTGCTCCCTCTCCTCCGGTACCCCCCCCGGTTCCCGCTCCGTCAGGTGTGTCGCAGGCTACCCCCCCTCCCTTGGTCCCCCCCCAGGTCTCTCCTCCTTCCCCACAGTCGTCCTCACAGCCTCCGCAGCAGCCGTCGGCGCTTCCTCTCCCGGCCACTGCGGACTCTGAGGGTGTTGGTGCTCGAGGTGAGGGCTCTGGCGGTGCTGGTTCTGGGGGTGTTGGAGTTGGAGCTGAGCGTGCACCTGCCGCAGCTGCACGTCCCGAGCGTGTTGGAGTCGGTGGTGGTGCTGGAGCTGGTGGTGTTTCTGGAGCTGGAGAGTCTGGGGCTGGTGCTGGTGCCACTGGCGGCGCCACGACTGGGGGTGCGGGTACACCTCCTACAGGTACTGGTCGTGCTGCCGCAGGGGGTCCTCGCTCTGGGGGTGCTCAGCCGGGTCCTGTCGAGGGTGGAGCCGGTTCTTCTTCGTCGTCTCCTGACACCACTCCTCCTCCTCACCCCTACCCGACTCGTTACCAGGCCCTTCGTCGTCTAGAGCGTGAGGAGCAGCAGCGTTTGGAGCGTGAGAGGTCGGAGGTTCAGCAGCGGGTGGAGCGTGAGCGGTTAGAGTTTCAGCAGCAGCAGCAGCAGCAGCAGCAGCAGCACCAGCAGCCGCAGCCACATCCACAGCAGCAGCAGCAGCAGCCGCCGCAGCTGCCGGAGCAGCCGCCGCAGCTGCCGGAGCAGCCTCCGGCCCCTGTTTCTGGCCTTCGGGCCCTTGGTCTCCCCTCCTCTCCTCTTGTGTTCGGTCCCACGTTTCCTCCTCCGGACTCCACTCCGGCTGTCTTCCCTCGTTCTCAGTCTCCTCCGTCCCCCCCTCCTCTCGCCCACACTTGGGCCTCTCGCCCTCCTCGTGCTCGTCCCTCGTCCCCTGTCACTGACCTCCGTACCGTGTTGTTTCGTCCTTGTCCTCCTCGTTCTCCTCCGTCTGTCCTTCCTCGTCCTCCTGAGTCTTCCCTCACTGCCTCCCTGTCCACTCCGGTCACTGACTACTACCGCACGTACCGCCCCACTCTCTCTCGTGTTCTCGCCTCTCTTGTTACAGACCCTCGTGCCTCTCCTTCCTCAGTCGCGGTCCTCACTGCCGCTGTCACTGACTTTACTGCTACGCGTCGCCTTGACTACGCCACTCGAGTTGTGGCAGCTCCTCCTGTCCGTCCTCTGTCCGCCGGGGGTGTGTGTGCCCTTGGCTGTGACGTCCTAGAGGACAGACAGTTTGAGCTAGAGTTCCTGGCAGCTGCTTCGCCTCATATCTGTGCCATGCTGCTCACTCCTGAGGGAGACCCCGACGCTCCTGACATACCTACTCCTCGCACTTACGCTGAGGCAGTGTTAGGGCCTTGGGCCTCTCAGTGGAGAGCTACCATGGACGCAGAGATGGCCTCCTACAGGTCCACAGGCACTTACGTTGACGAGGTTCCCCCCCCAGGGGCGAACATTGTTGACGGCATGTGGATCTTCAAGGTGAAGCGGCCGCCGGGATCTCCCCCAGTCTTCAAGGCACGCTACGTGGCTAGAGGGTTCAGTCAGCGCGAGGGGGTTGACTTCTTTCAGACCTTCGCGCCCACCCCGAAGATGACCACTCTTCGGGTGTTACTGCACGTAGCAGCGCAGAGAGACTACGAGCTACACTCTCTTGACTTCTCCACTGCCTTCCTCCAGGGCTGCTTACACGAGGAGATCTGGCTGCGTCGTCCTCCGGGCTTCACTGACACTTTCCCGCCTGGGACCCAGTGGAGCCTCAGACGACCGGTCTACGGTCTCCGCCAGGCACCCCGTGAGTGGCACGACACTCTCCGCTCTACTCTCTCCGACCTCGGGTTTGAGCCGTCTTCCGCCGACCCGTCGCTGTTTGTTCGTCGTGGCCGTACACCTTTCTTCGTCCTAGTCTACGTTGACGACTTGGTTTTTGCCACGGCCGACACAGCTGCACTGGCGGAGGTGAAGTCCGAACTGCAGAAGAGACACACCTGCACTGACCTTGGGGAACTGCGCCGCTACCTTGGCCTGCAGATCTCCAGGGACAGAGCCGCTCGCACCATCACTCTCACTCAGTCACACATGGTGCAGCAAGTTCTTCAGCGGTTCGGGCTTCAGGACTCTTCTCCTGCCCCCACTCCTCTTGCTGTAGACCACAGACTCACTGGGCCTTTTCCTGACGAGCCGTTCGAGCCCAGTGGTCCCTACGCAGAGCTGGTGGGCTGCCTCATGTACCTGATGACGTGCACTCGCCCGGACCTCGCCTTCCCCCTTAGCATCCTGTCTCGCTTTGTTGCGACTGGGAGACACCGTCCTGTTCACTGGGCGGCGGCTAAGAGGGTGGCGAAGTACCTTGGCGCGACATCAGGCATGGGGCTTGTACTTGGAGGGACACAGCCAGTTGTACTCACCGGTCACTGTGACTCTTCCTACGCTGACGACGTTGAGACTCAGAGGTCTACGCAGGGTTACTGTTTCAGCCTGGGTTCTGGAGCTGTTTCGTGGAGGTCTACTCGGTCCTCCTCTGTTGCGACTTCTACCGCAGAGGCCGAGATCTACGCTGGGGCCCTTGCTGCTCAGGAGCTACGCTGGTTGACCTTTTTGCTCACTGACCTTGGTGAGCGGCCGAGCTCTGCACCGACCCTGTTTGCTGACAACAGGGCGATGATTCTCCTGTGTCGTGAGCCTCGACTGGAGAGCCGAGTGAAGCACATCGACGTCAGGTACTTCCTCCTTCGAGAGTTGCAGAGACGCGGACAGGCTCGTCTGGACTTTGTGGCCTCCGAGGCCAACACTGCAGACATCTTCACCAAGGCCCTCCAGCCTTGTGACCACCGTCGGTTTTGTCTGCAGTTAGGCCTCGTTGAGACTGGATCTAGTTGACTGCTGTAGGGTGCTCTTTGTCTGTTGCTTGCTTGTACCTTATATATATATATTTGTTTGCACACTTTTGGACTGGCCTTGTGGCCCTTTGCTTGTGCTCAGATTAGGTGGTGACGTTGTGATCCACCCTGAGCTTTGTTTTCTTTCTCTTGTTTTTGACTGGTCTTGTGACCGTAGGTTGCTTGTTGTTGATTGGCCTTCCCCACTTAGGCTATGGGGGTGTGTCAAATATTATAGCTTGTAGTGGGTTGGGCTATATGGGATACAACTAGTTAGGGTTAGGTGATGTACCCCAATCCTGTCAACACAACGCATTCCGCTGTATTTCTCATTGTGTCAGTAGGAACACGCTCTAAGGCTTCTTGGAGCATTCCTGTATATGAACTGACTGGCTCAATACTGGATAGCCTAGCGAGCCCACATGGAAAGGAGCCACATGACACTTGTTGGGCTGAGATTCACCAAGGGCGAACCATGAATATTCATTTTTCTTCCATCCCTGAACATAGCGATGAGACCAGCATGGCCTGTCAGGCTGCACTAACCCCTAACCATAACAACACAGGAAAACGCATTGTAAAAAAACAAAAAGGCTCAGCGTCACCACGCCAGGCTGGGCCTGCATGGCATGGTGCATTCACCAACGGATTTCTTGGAATCTATATTTTCGAAACTGGAGATTATTCGGGCTTGAAGTCGGCGAGCACGGGGTGCGACTCCCAGTTGGGGTCGTCGGCGGCGAGCAGATCGATATACTTCTGCATCGCCTCCTCCGCCGACATGCCCTTGATCGCGTTCCACGCGTCCCACTTCTGCCGCGCCTCGAATTGAATGAACAGCGGCTGTCATGCACAACGGAAGAGAAGCGTCGCGAAAAGGTTAGGACTCGGGGGAAGGTCCGTGACGTGCGAAAGACGAGACGCCATAAGACGTGGGGTAGGGTAGAACGTAAACAGGAGCGTGTGCCAATGAAGCCACTCGTACAGTCGCTAAGGCGGAGTCATTCTCAAGCGAAACAACGATGAACATTATCCTACCAGGGGACATTCTGAGAATTTTAAAAGTACCTGGGATCCCTTCACGTCGCCCTCCGTGGCCTGCTTGAAGTAGGAGTAGTACTTGAGCTTCTCCTCCGTGGTCGCCTTGGGATTCGGCGGGCCATTGCGGATCAGGTACGCGGCCTTCTTGAATCTAATCTCGAGCTCAGACATGGCGACGAACCTGGAGACGAGACGAGGACTCGGGACGGATCTCGGGCTCCAATGCAAGAATTCGTTAGAGCGGAACCGAGATCAAACCTGACACTGGAGTGAGTGAAGAATCCGAGCAAAAATAGGCCTTCGCTGAACTGGAAGGGGGATTTGCGGGAGAGAAAGGGCATGGAAGGGGTATTCGGGAGACTGCGTTTCGTGGAGGTGAAAGGGGGAGGAGGGGGGGAAGGGGGAAAGAGTGATCCCCAGGTGTCACCCGCAACTCTGAATTGACGGGCCATCAAATCGCGACAGGCCTGGACGAATGCTGATTCGTGACCAGGTGTCAGGCGACCTTGGGAACTGTCGTCTGCTCTCGCAAATTGTCGCCGTCATTCTAGTTACGAGGCTTCCGACAAAGGAATTCTGATGGATATCGGGATTGCCGCCCGTCACCAAGAGTCACCATAATCAGATACGTTATCGTTAGAAATTTTCAGATACAACAGCTGTTGAGTTTCAGCTCGGCCTTGACAGCATTTATTAATGACCTCGCAGCAAGGTTGGGCTACATTCCCACGACTTAACCATCAGATTGGGCTGTCCAATAACCTGAAGCAATTACAGCTAATCCTACAGTAGACCCTAAAACAAAAACCGGCTGATTTATTATTGATAGGCAGCCCACAAAGGTACGTACCGTACATCAATGGCTGCTATACCTTGTTACCTAAAGGGGGTCTGCTAGCCCCCACCCGTGTCGACCATGTACTCAGCAGCGAATGTACATGCACCTCAGTGACACACTTCAAACCACCGGAACCTCAACAGGGTGAGTGATGACAAGCAGTGCACCCTCACGACTCGCCCCAGGCAGCTGCAGGATCATCCCTGTGTGTGACGACGTGCGCCACAAGCAACCCCAGCTCCCTGCCAGCTTAGGCACCTCCCAAGCCCGGAGTCACCAGCGGATGTATATGCGCCGCACCGACTTCAAAAAGAACTCCCAGGACTCATCTCCCAGGAGGACCATGTTGCCCTCTCGGCCCTGATACACCACGTTCGACCCCTCTGTCAGCTCCGGCAACTCACGAGCACAGCACGTCACCGGCGGATGTACATGCGTCGCACCGACTTGAGAAAGAACTCCCATGACTCGTCACCCAGCAGAATCATATCCCCCTCACGGTCCTGGTACACCACAGACGACCCCTCTGTGACTGACAGCAGCGCCTCCCTCAGCTCCTGCGTCGACTGGAACCGACTCAAATCCACCGACACACCAAACGGTGACCCTTCCACAAAGCACTTCACTCTCAAGCTCTCCTCTCCCCCCGCGCCTCCGCCTCCTCCTCCTCCCCCTCCCCCTCCCCCTCCCCCTCCCCCTCCCCCTAATGCCCCGCCCCTCGCGCCCGCTCCCCCTGCGTTATCCGCCATGCTCCCTGCTCCCAAGCCTGCTGCGTCTGCTGACCCTGACAGCCCCCCCAATCCACCTCCGCCTCCCCCTGCGCCATCCCCCGCGCCCCCCATCATGCCCGCGCCTGCAGCACCAGGGGAGGAGTTGCCTGAGCGCTCAGGGCCCAGGCTGGAGGGGGGGGAGCCCCCTCTGCCCCCACCACCACCACCACCACCACCTCCGCCGCCTCCTGTCCCTGCTCCGCCTGCCACACCACCTGCTGCTCCCATGAACCCTCCCCGTGACTGCTGCTGCATCTGTGGCATCTGTTGGTTCTGCTGCTGGTTGTGTTGCTGCTGGTGCTGGTAAAAGGGAGAGCCGCCAGAAGCCTCCCTACCAGCGTCACCAAGCCCACTCATCCGCGCACCCATCAACCCACCTAACCCTCCACCACCTCCCCCGAAACTCCCCCCGCCACCCTCACCAGCAGCCGCACTGCCAGCAGCAGCAAGGGACGCCAAGCGCTTCCCCCCGCCCATGCCAGACGCCATGGACGCGCCATCGTCCGCGCCCCCGTCCCCCACGTCCCCCCGACTCCCCGACGGCTCTGCTGAGTCCTCCGGCGCTGCCCGCTTCCTCCCCGCCAGGCCCCCCGCCCCTCCGTACCCCCCTGGCCGAGTGCCACCCAGGGGAGGTAGCGACTGTGGCATGTGGAAGAGGGGCGGGTGGAGAGAAGGGGGAGCCTGGGGCGGACCGCCCTGCTCCCATGCTCCCTCTGGCTCGTGACCATCTGTATTCATGCCCCCCATCCCCCCCATTCCCCCCATTCCTCCCCCTGGACCTGTTGCCCCTCCCGCCCCCGCTGCCCCAGGCGCTACCAGCAAAGACGGCGCACTCATTCCCCCCGCGCCGCCGTCTCCATGCGGCGCCGCCCCGCCGTGCGCATCACCGGCTTTGTCTGTAGCGGAGGAGGAGTTGCGCATGGCCTGCTGCTGCGCGAGCAGGGCGGCAATGGACGACACGATCTGGTCCCTCGACAGCCCCGCAGCCAGCCCCTTAGCCACTGCGGCATTCACCAGCTGCTCCTGTACTGAACCCTTCACCACCCCAGGGACTATCTCGCTCACTGCCCCCTCGCCCTCCATCGCACCCCCTCCCTGCCCATGCCCCTGCTGCTGCAAGTGGTCTTCCTCGTCCTCCTCTTCCTCCTCCAGTTCCTCCTCTTTCTGCTCTTGGTGCTGCAACGGCGCCTGTTGCTGCTGCTGCTGCTGTTGCTGCTTCTGACGTTGAATTTGCTGGATATGAGAGAGCAGCACGGCAGGGGTCAGCCCACCCTGACCTGACACTGACGTCAGCAGTGACGCCAGCTGCGCCACGCCCGACGGGCCCAGCTGTGCCAGCAGCGACGCAGGAAGCTTCGCTGCAGCCAGCGCCGCGAGATTGCTCGCGCCCAGCTTCCCCTGCTCCGCCCCGCCCCCTCCCCCGCCCCCCTCCCCCGCCCCCGCCTACACTCCCCACCTCCCCATCCATACTATCCTCCCCCTCGTCCCGCCCATACCCTCCCCCGTCCGCTCTCCGCTGCCCGCCTCCCCCAAACCCCCCATACGCCCCGCCCGCCTGGCGGGGCGGGGAGGGCCTCCGCCAGGACCTCCCCTGCAGCCCCATGGGGTCGTCTTGCGCCCCGTCCGCGGAGCCCAGCGCGGCGCCCGCGCCCCCGCTGGATGCGGCGGCGGAGGGCGCGAAGCCCTGCGCGGGGCGGCGGCGGAAGCCTATAAAGAGGTCACCCGCGGTGCCCCTGTGAAAGTAGACTATGTCTCCCGGGACGAGCAGCTTTTCCTTGACGAAGCGGCTCCACCCCTTGGTCAACACGTAGCTCTGACTGCTGTTCCAATACGAGTACCTGCGTGGGCGAGAGGGGGATGGGGGTGTGGCGGGAGTGTTGAGGCGCCTGAAAAGGTGCCCCTGTGGAAGTAGACGATGTCCCCCGGGACTAGAAGCTTCTCCTTGACGAAGCGGCTCCACCCCTTGGTCAACACGTAGCTCTGACTGCTGTTCCAGTACGAATACCTGCGCGGGGAGACGGAGAGTAGGAGGGGGAGAGTGGAGGGAGTGTTTAGGCGCCTCAGAAGGTGCCCCTGTGACATTGAACGATGCCCCCCAGAACCAATAGCTTTTCCTTGACGAAGCGGCTCCACCCCTTGGTCAGCACGTAGCTCTGACTGCTGTTCCAATACGAGGACCTGGGGAGAAGGAGGGGAGGAGGGGGGGAGGGGGAGCATGGCATAGGCTGGAATTGAGGGGCGACGGCTGTGGGTGTGGCTAAGAGTCCTACCGGAAGCGCCAGTGCTTGCCAGCCTCGTCCTCAAAAGAAAGCGTCATGGCGGGCGTGGGCAGGTTGGGGTCGAGCGGTTAAAGCTACAGCTAAGGGTAAAGGTACGGCTGCAGCGAAGGTTGAGGGTGTGGGGTGTGGGTACAGAACTCACCGGAAGCGCCAGAGTTTGCCAGCTTCGTACTCGAAGGAGAGCATCATGGCGGGCGTGGGCAGGTCGGGGTCGAGCAGGAAGGCTACGGCTACGGCTAAAACTGTCGCTATGCAAGTGGGCGCGGATCTCACCGGAAGCGCCAGAGTTTCCCAGCTTTGTCCTCAAAGGAGAGGGTCATGGCGGGCGTGGGCAGGTTGGGGTCGAGGTGCGTCTTGAGTCGCATAAAACGCACACCTTCTGAATAGTTGTCTCAAAACTCACCGGAAGCGCCAGTGTTTCCCAGCTTCATCCTCAAACGAGAGAGTCATGGCGGGCGTGGGCAGGTTGGGGTCGAGCGGGAAGCAGCGCTCCGCGTGCTGCTTGGGAATCACCAGCCGGTTCAGCTTCCCCACGTCGCTCGGCGTCACCGCCTTCTCAAACAGATGCTCCTTCCCCGCCATGCTCACGCCACCCCCGCCACCCCCGCCCCCGCCGCCTCCGCCCATCGCTCCGCCCATGCCTCCCCCCATCGATCCTGCCATTGCGCCTCCCCCGGCTGCCCCCATCACCTGGCCGGCCCCTCCGCCATACCCGCCTGGTCCCGCTCCTCCCCCTGCTCCGCCCCCTCCCCCATGGAACCCCCCTCCGCCTGACTGCGCCGCGTCCGCAGCGGGGAACCCCAGTTCCCGCCCGCCACCCATTCCCGCGCCTGCGGGAGCGCCGGCGCTCCCAACGATGCGGAGGGGCGTCCCCGCGCCGTCTTGCGCGGGGCGACCTGGGCCGAGCGGCGCAGAGGGGGAGGAACCGGCGGGGAAACCGGAGGACGCGGGGTGGAGATGCGCGGATGGCGGAAGCGAGAGCGGGGAATGTCCAGGGTAAGGGGGGTCGTGGGGATGCGCCTGTCCCTGCGTCGGCAGCATCAGCGCGCCCTGCCCTTGCCCATGCTGCGTGGAAGGCGCGGGGAGCGCGAGCGCGTGCGCGTTGGGCTGCGCAGGCGGAGACGTGGCGGCTTCCGCAAGGTTCGCGTTGGCGAGTTCTTCCTCGAACGTGTGCTTGCGCAGCATGTCCACCAGCTGCGCGCAGCGAGGGGAGGAGAAGTGGGGAAGCGGGGAAAAAGTGGGGGTGCATGTTAAATCTGGAGTCGACTCGGTAAGTCCATTCTCGAATGTGTGCTTGCGCAGCATGTCCACCAGCTGCGCGCGGGGACGTGGATTTGGATGGGGGAGAGTGGCGGGGATGGGGGCAGGAGAAAGGGGAAGAATCAGACGGCATACGACGTGGGGGAAGAGAGATGGCGCATGGCGCAGGGCGCAGAGCGGGACGAGGGCAGAAACATTTGACTGAGGGGGCAGGGTAACGGAGGAGAGAGCGGGTGCAAAGAAAGAGAGAGGAAAGTGATGATAGCCCCATGAAGGGCGGAGCAGAAACACGACAGGCGGGTGAGGGCGGATGCGGGGAGCAGAGATCAAACCAGGCAGGTCGAAAGGCGGAAAAAGCGCGGTGGGGGAAGAGGCAGAGGGGAGGAAGTGGGGGGGAGGAGCGCGGGGGGAGGAGGCCGGAGGGAGGGAGGCGGGGGGCGGAGCATGTGGGAGCGGGAGCGGCGAGTGAGGGAGCGCACCTTCTCTTTGGGCTGCGACATGATGAAGCAGATCTCGGGGTGCGACTCGGGCATCGGCCGAAAGTTCGTCATCGCATCCCTCCCTCGGAACTTGAGCGCGGCGCGGTCGTAAGCGCGCGCCGCGTCCTCCTCGCCGTTGAACGTGCCGAGCCACACGCGGCTGTGCTTCTCGTAGATCTGCGCGCCCCACCGCCCGTTGGGCTGCGGCACCACCCCGCGGTACTGCGACGACAGCATGCGGCTCGCCTCCTTCTCCACGCCCTCTTCCGAATCCTCGTCCTCTCCGCCGTCCCCCCCTTCTCCGCCCATCCCATCCGACCCTTCCCCGCCCGCCCCCCCGTTCCCCGGTCTCTCTTCTGCAAAAGAGTCGGTTCCGCGTCCCGTTGCCGCTTCTCCGCCCGCTTGCACCCCTGCGGCCTGCGCGGGGCTATTGTTTTCCCCCGCAGCGTGCGCTATATCCTGCGCGCCAGCGGTGGACGGCAGCTGGAGGCTCGCGCCTAGCCCTTGCCCCTGCTCTTGCCCTTGCCCATGCGCTTGCCCATGCGCATGCCCTTGCGCATGCCCTTGCGCGTACCCTTGCGCGTGCCCTTGCGCGTGCCCTTGCGCGTGCCCTTGCGCGTGCCCCTGTGCATGTTGATGTTCGTGATCGTTGCTTCGCTGGTCGCGGTCGTTGCTGTATCCCGCCAACACAATCTTCTCCGCCTTCTCCTCATCCGCGTGCGCCACCGCTCCCGCTACCGGAGCAGTGTTCGTCTGCGCAACTGGCGCACTGGAAATTCCGCCCATCGCGCCCTCCGCCCCTTCCCCTTCACCTTCCCCAGCCCTTTTGACTAGGCCCCCATTCGCGTCTCCCGCGGCCAGGGGCGCTGTTCCCTCCCCGCCCTCCTGTCCTGTCTGTTCCGCTCCGCCCGCCTCCGAGCTTCCGCCCTGCGCGTCTTTCGCCCCGTCTGTCCCCGCTCCCCCTTCACCATCCGCCCCCTCATGATCCTTCCGCCCAGTGTCCGCTATAGCGGGCCCCGTATGCGCTACAGCACGCTGCGAGTCCCCGATTGGTTCGGCGTCTCCAGCATTATGATCCCCTGCGCCATCCGCGCCGAACTCGTTACGGCCTTGTTCCGCCTGCTCCCCTTGATCCACTCTTTGAGCCTCCAACGCCTGTGGGGCGGGGGAACCCAACACACTTCCCCCTTGACCGTCACGCGCAGCTACAGCGGGGGAATTGGGCGCAACTGCGGGGGAGTTGGGCGCAAGTGCAGGGGACTTGGGCGGCGCCCGCGCGGCGGCGAGGGCCTGCAGGTGCTGCAGGCGCTGCCCCACGCGGGAGACCAAATCGTCCGTCAACTCCATTCCCCCGCCCCCGCTGCCGCTACTGTCCTCATCGCGTAGCGATGCCAGTGCCGCCTTTAACAGATCCTTGTCAAACCCCGCCGGTAAATTGTCCATTATTGACTAGCGTGGCTCGATCGGATCGAGTATAGGGATACGCCGTATACTAACACTAACTAATTGCGGAAAACGTGATGGTTCGATCCAAGATGTGACGTCAACGAGAAAATACCAACTCGAAGGCCTTAGACCGAATCTGAAGGAGCGGGAGGCAGCAAGAAGAGGGGAGACGGGTGTGGTGGCAGAGAGAAAAAGGAAGACAAGAGTTAGGGAGATACGGAGAGAACGACATAACGACAAGAGCAGGACGAGAAGAAAAATAGGACCAGGCGTCGACAAATAAGCCCGAATGACAGCCCGTAATGCCGGGAACGATGGCAGGCGATGCTAACACTATATAGTTTAGCTACGAACAACATGCGAAAGTAATTCGCTAACACACGCGGCAGTCGTGAAGGTAAGTGCAGTTGAAAGGCATGGAAATAATCTCATCGGCAAATGAATGAAATCCTAAAAAAGCGCAAGTAACGACATTACGGATGCACTAAGTCGGCAAATCACTAACGAAACGGTGAATAGACTAACGGCGGTTTACGCGGGAAAAAAATGGATGGCATGTCAATCAAGTGTCTGACCTTGTGCTTGAACATGGCAGCTAGGCTCCAAGCAGCAGCAGAACCGAGAGCCAGCAATCGATCGTTGCAAGGTAGGTCACCTGGAACAGCAGGTAGGGTTTCGAGCGCATGTGAAATAGGAGCTGGACTGGGAGCCTGGGAGGCAAAGGCACCTGCCACCTGACTCCTGAGAGAAGACGCACCAACAGACGCCCAACATGACGCCTGCTCGCTCCGCCTGGCTGCCTGGATTCTGGTTCCCAGAGTGCGGATATGCGGGTGAATGGGCTTGATCCATGGCGGGACGGGCAGGGGTTCGGCGCGCCAGAGCGGAGAAAGGGGGCGGACGCGGCACAGTGATAAGCCGAAGATCAGGTTTGCGCCCCTGGAATCACTCATGCAACATGTTTCAGCGCAGTATTGTGGGTTACTGAAGCTTCTTGCGTGGTGTATTGTGGTGCCAAGTCAATCGTGGGTGTTGAGCCTGCTTGCTCAGCCACGTATGTCGCCTGACAAGGAACAGTCACGCCCGTTTGTGTCCTCCTCCTGACGCAAGCAGGCCCGTGATAGCTCAGGGACCGCAGCTCAACAATCAAGTGATAGGGTTGACGCTGGTGCCACGTCAGTTCTGCTGGCACACATTACAAATTGTATGTTCAAAGTTCAAACCACATCTGCGACATCTCCAAAATGTCGCGTATACTAGAATTATGAAATCTAACTGTATATATCATATAACAAGATGTTAGACTCCTCCATCCATGCCATCCTAGTGATCCAAATGGATTGTTAAAATGACCAAAAGGACCTCAAATAAGTATAGAGAAATATATACCTACAGACTTAATCGTTCCGTTATGCTGATAAGGGCTTTAATTTCTGAAATCAGGAATCAGTCGCTTGACCTGCTGCTTTCATAGTGATTAAAGAAGTAAAAAAATGTTCTCATACATCCAGTCATCTCCATTTTACAAAGATAGCAGAGGTAATGTATTATATTTATGATTGGCACATTGGCTATCACTTCTGGCTTCTATTCTAAGTTTGAGTATCTTTGCTTACATATGTAAGTAAATGTAGAGGCCTGTTATATATTACAGGTGGAATGAATCGAGGTAGCGATGATTGCACTAAGTATCAAACGAGTACAAAATGTGAGCGAATGCATGAGCGAACATTTATACGCGAAAAATGCAATCGGTAATGCGGTGCATGCGGGCTAGCTAGTGCTACGTTGGCAGCGAAGTTCGGGCTGGTCCCGAAGCATAGGCTGACATGGCCGGGCCAGCAGTGCAAGGTTTGGTGAAACAGTGCGCGAAGTTAACGAGGCCCCGTTAGCAGTAATGGGCGAACAACGGCTGCTGCTGTACGCGGCATTGCGGGTCTCAGTAAGGAATGTCGAGAAAATTCCGTACGCTACCCCCCCCCCCCCCCCCTCCCCTCAAGAAGCCCCCTCCGCTACGCGAGCGCGTGTATATCGCAGAAACCCCGGCTCATCAGGTACACTTGCCAAGCAGGGTGGTTTTAGATGTTGGCCAGGAGCACCCAGCTATCCTCAGTTGGCGTGCGATCCTTCCAGCGAACGAGAAACTCGATCCTCCTGATTCCCGTAGGGTGTCGAATCCAATGGCTCTGAATCTTCTCGGGCTCGATGGTCGGCTCCGATGCAGGGCGAGTCATGGATGGCGAGCGGTGACGAGGCAGTTGGCTTGTGGTTGGGATGTAAGGGCGAAGCAGGCTGACGTGGAATGATGGGCTGATGTACCAGTCAGTCAGTAACAGTAGATGGGTTACTGGCGTAATTATGTGGCTAACTTGGAATGGGCCACAGTAGCGAGGTCGAAGTTTGGTACGTCGGACAGTCGCAGATTTTGCGTGTCAAGCAGTACGTAATTGTCAAATGTTGTAGCCTGTAGTGAGGTTTGTCTTAGGGGGTACAGAAGTTAGGGTTTGTTATATGTACCCCAACCAACATCAATGGCATCATCATTCCTCATTTTGACATGGTATCAGCTAGGTTAGGATCCTGTGGGATCCCGTTCCTCCGTTCTCCGTTCGTCCCTCCCGAGCCTGATCCTACCTCTCGTTCGTACCGGTTCCGTTGTTACCGCGCCTAGTACCGAGCCTAGCGCCCTCTCCCCCGTCGCTTAGCGCCCTTTCTCCCCGTCGCCTAGCGCCCTTTCCCCCCCCCCCCCCCCCCCGTCGCGTCGCGCCCTTTCCCCCCGTCGCCTAGCGCTCTTTCCCCCCGTCGCGTCGCGTCGCGCCCGTTCCCCCCGTCACGTCGTGCCCGCCCTTTCCCCCCCGTCCCGTCGCCCTGTCCCGTCGCGTCGCCCTGCCCCGTCCCGTCGCCCTGCCTCGTCGCGTCGCCCTGCCCCGTCCCGTCACCCTGCCCCGTCGCGTCGCCCTGCCCCGTCGCGTCGCCCTGCCCCGTCCCGTCACCCTGCCCCATCGCGCCGCCCTGCCCCGTCGCGTCGCCCTGTCCCGTCCCTACGCCCTGGCCCGTCGCCCTACCCTACGCCCTGGCCCGTCGCCCTACCCTACGCCCTGGCCCGTCGCCCTACCCTACGCCCTGGCCCGTCGCCCTACCCTACGCCCTTGCCCGTCGCCCTACCCTACGCCCTGGCCCGTCGCCCTACCCTACGCCCTGGCCCATCGCCCTACCCTACGCCCTAGCCCGTCGCCCTACCCTACGCCCTAGCCCGCTCTTCCGCTGCGACTGAGTCCCCTTCCCACCTGAACCCTAATTTGCCTCTTCTCCCCGGTTGTTAATCGCCTGTTCGTTCGCGTTAGTTCTCACTATGGCGACTCCGCGAGTTCTTCGTTTCGACGCTGACGGTAGACCACTTGACTTTTCCGTCTGGCTTCTTCGCGCTCGCCGTCTGTTAGAGAGTCAGGTCCAGGGGGGCGAGACCCTCTGGTCGCACGCTACTGGTGACCTCCCCGAGCCCCCCGAGCCTACAACTTTAGGCTCTGCCCCTGACGACGCTGCTACGGCTCGCTTTGCCCGTCAGCGCGCTGACCGGACGGCTTGGACGTCGCGTGACGCTGCGGCCTGCATCGCACTCAGCAGCCTCCTCCCTGAGTCAGAGGAGGTCCACTTTACTCAGGTTCGCACCGCTGCTGCGTACCTCACTGCGATTAAGGCCCGCTACTCTACTCCCGCTACTGTCTCTCTTGGCCGTCTTTTCCTCCCGTTCCTGTTTCCTGATCTCGCCTCGTTTGAGCGCTCTGCTAACTTGATCGCTCACCTCCGCTCGCTCGACGCTAGTTACCGCGCTGCTTGCACTGAGGCACAGCTTGCACTGAGGCACAGCTTGCACTGCTTCCTCCCCCCATGGCGATTACTGTCTATTTCATCGCCACTAGCCTCCTTGACTGCCTAGCCTCCGTTCGTGACGCGCTTCTGCTGAAGCACCCTAGTGAGCTGACTATCGAGGTCCTTGAGTCTGCACTCAAGGACGTCAAGAGCAACCTTCGCTCGGTAGCTGCCGCCTCTGGTACTGTGTCCCCCCCACTCTTCCACTGGTGCACAGTCCCGCAGTTACCCACCTTCACTGCCTCTCTCGCCACTGCCGCTACTGACGCGACTGCGGCTGCTGTTACGACTGCGTCGCGGTCCCGCGGCAAGGGGGGCAAGAAAGGTAGTTCTGGTGGAGGTGGAGGTGGAGGTAGCGGAGGTAGTGGGGGTGCTGTTGCGACTGGCGGTGGTGGGAGTGCAGCGTCTGGAGAGACCCCTCGTGCAGCGGCTGGTGACTCCACTGCGCCTGCTGGTGGCGGCGACCCCCGAGCTCGTCAGTCGCCTCCTGTACTGCCGACCCCGCTAGGTGGAGCAGCGGCGTGGTACCAGGCTCAGCGTCAGCAGCACCTTCAGCAGCAGCAGCACCCCCTTTCCTCCCGCCAGTCTCAGCAGCAGCAGCGTCAGCAGCTGGCTCCGGGGTCGGGGCTGCGTCAGCCCCAGCGCGGTGCTTCTTACCCTCCCTGCACCTATCAGGTTCTGGCAGGTCCTCGTCGGGGCCACCCTTGTGGCCGCTTTCACCCCCCTGGTCAGTGCTTTGCTCAGCTCACTGACACGGTCCGGTTGGCCTACGAGGTTGGCGGTCCTGCTCTTGACTGGCTTCCTCTAGTTCAGCGCTACGGCTCCGCTCTGTGGGGCATGTCTGCTGAGCAGTTAGTTGATCTGATTGGTGCTCCTCATGCTATGTATGCTGTTGTTGACTCTAGTGTTTCTGACTCTGTTTACTCTGGTGTTGTTAGCTTAGGTGCTAGTCTTGCTCAGTTGCCTGTTGCTAGTGTAGGTTCTTGTGTAGACTCTAGACCAGCGACTACCTCAGAGGACGCTTCGCTGTCGTTCACGCTGGACTCTGGAGCCTCACACTGCTTCTTCCGGGACAGCACGACACTTACACCACTTCCTGCGCCTGTTTCTATGGCTTTGGCTGATCC